CAACTATTATCTTGGTACAACAGGGTCTGGAATGATCCCTAAAGATCTCCTAGATCTACAAAGACAATCAGAGTCTTATATCAAACCCTAGATGTGATCTATGACCCCTGCACACACACTCATCTTGTTGATCCTACAGCATTGGCAGTTGGACCATCATTCGACTTAGAAGTATTCAAGCACAAGATCCTGGAAGCGCATCATTTACGGCCACCTTTCACTCAATTGGTATAGGACATAGGACATATAAGTTCACTTAACCTACTTTCCCTTCTAAAAGATATGTATCTATAAGCTGCCAATATAGATGGCTTTCTCTTTATCACTCTGGGCATCCTTAAATTCACTAACAAGCTTTGTACTTTCTTCAAATCAGGTCGATGGAAACTTCCAGTTATTGTCTCTCTAGCGCCACCAATCAAGTAAAGAAAAAAAAAAAGAAAAAAGAAAAAGTCCTTAAGGAGCTAAAAGCACTTTGCCTAATGAATGAGGACTGAAGCTCTAGGTGGAAATTCCTTGTTCCACCCTCTTATAGCTCTTAGAACTGTTAAACTCAACTAATTATCCAGTGCTATATACCTAAGGAAAAAGGAACCAACAGAAAATTGTGACAAAGCATCATCACCTGTTTCCCAGCAAATATCTTAAGTTTTCTAAATCTAATGTACAAATATGGGAAAATAACAAGGAGGCCTAAGACTTCAAGGGATTAAACAAATAGATTATATCACAAGCTTGTTATTCACATACTAAAAAGTGGAGGGCACAAACACTGTCATCCTGATAATCAAAATATATAAAGAAATTCTTTGGTGGTATAAAATTCACTACATGTTGAGCTAATCTATGGGGTAAAGACTGAGAAGAGCAGTAAAGAAAGCATGGAGTAAGGTGACACATCTGTTCATGTTTTGAGTCATATCTGTTTATCAAACTGACAGTTTTCCACTATAATTGCTGTGAGAATATTTGTCTTAATCTGTCAAAACACTGCCCAAAATATCATATTTGTCTGAATTTGTCAAATACTGCCCAGCAAGGTACCCCAGAAGAATTTAGATTTCAATGTCACTTAAAATCCTGGTAACTCATACTTTAAATATGAAAAGATGCACGAAGAGACAAAAAAATATTAACAAATTAGGTCTATCTCCTGAAAGTTCCTACCAGATTCCCTGCCCAATGAAGACTTTGTCAGAAAGCAAAGAAAGAATTTTAACATTGGGAGAATTCCATTTCAAGACTATAGTTATTTGAAATGGGAAGTCAATCATATTCAATAAATATTGAATGCCTTTATGTGCAAGGTACTGTGTAAGATACTCCATTTTTACTTAGCATTGGTTAAATAAATGGGGTAAGGAAAAATAAATCGGTAAGCTTTTTTAAAAAAAAAAATCAATAAACATTCATATTTAGTTCTACTTTTTTTTTTTAAGAAAACCTTATTTTGAGTCCTCAACAAGGATACCAATTTTAGGTCATAGCAAGAATTATCTTTTGAAATAACATTCTTTTAAAAGTGACTAATTACTGCTTTTAGCTATGGCCCAAATGCAGCACAGCAAACTAATATTCATAATTAACCCAAGAACCCACTGCATAGGCAAGATCACCACAGATGTTTCTTTTTCTGACTTTGCTACTGCTTTAAGCCTTACCATTAGTTCTTCAGATGTATTACATTTCTGACTAAAGTAGATCATCTTAGTTAACTCAATTTCACTTCAAACAATATCATTTGGCCAAAAAAAAAGCCTGAACCATAAATTATAATAGCTATCAGTTTGACTAAGTGGGCCAGGCACTGCAATGTCATTTTGTGAAGCCCGCCATACAACTTTCATAGTGTCTCCCTCCTATAAGTAAAGAATGGATAAACAAAGATTTTGACAAAGGAGTTAAGAGAAAAATGCCAGTCTGCTTATTCTACAGGCTTCCAGTAATGTAGCAATTCTAGTATCTGCTTTCCCCTTCTAAGGCCAATAGAATTCTATATGGCAAAGGATTCTCTATAGAAAAGGAGGTTGGGGGAAGGAAGAAAACAAGAACATTCACTTCTGATTGTTTCTGGAAAAAGGTTTTCCTATCTACTTCTCCAAAAGTGACACAAGTAAGTCAGAGGCTAAGTTTTAGAAAATGAGCTCCCACAACTCATTGCAATAATCAAATTAATTTTCAAGGAATGGTTTTTAAAAAAATCAAGAACACAGTATGTTTGATTAGTAAGTATCATTAAATCTCATAATCAATGAATACAATGAGTTCAATGGTGGAAGACCTTCAAAACCATCATATTCACCTTGAAACTGTAATTGCCAGCAAGCTCTCTGGCCAGCAGTGCTGCCTCATAGGGTGGACAGAGAATGTTATCGATGAAAAAGCACAAAGTCCTGTAGGACAGAAGGCAGACACATTTGTTTGTTAAACTCAACTGACACCTTTAGCACTGAAAAGCCATTCCTCTGTTGAGGAATGCTAAGGCTTTCATATATAATTAATAAAAACAAAAACAAAACAAAAAAGCCCACCACTGTTCAAGGATAGGACAAAACATAGAATATCCACTGCATTCTCTAAACCAAGTACGGTCACAAAGTCATTCTTTTCCTAACAGGGCTACATACTCTTCTACTTGTGCTCAACCTCCTAAGTTTATTCAATCCTTTTCAAGGATGAAGATAATAAAGGAGATGAGTACCTAACATGGTAAGGGCTTCTAAGAGACAAAAGTGCAAAACTTGGGGAAAATGGCATGACAACACAAAGAGATGTTTTTATCAGTTTCTGTCTTTTCATAAATCAATCTAACAGAATGGGGGTGACTGTGGCGGGGACGGGGGGGGGCAGCTGAGTCTGTGATAAAGGGAATTCTCTGGAAGAGCAAATTCCCTCCACTACTGTAGGTCAGCAACTTCTCTAACTTGTAGCCTACTGGAGTCTTTGAAAGTTTCTCAAAAAACAACCAAAAAGACAGATTTAGATTTTAAAACCAATCCTCACAAAATTACTCAGATATGTTAACGTCTTAAGTTTCAGCACAAAGAATAGCCTACCAAACAAGCAAAGTTAAATGTCACTATAGCAATGGTGAACTATCTGGGTTGATTTAATTATCTTTTATTTGGAGGCAATGTTGATCAGGAATAAAGAATTAAAGAGTAAAATCACTCCATTACTGAATTTCAGTAGGTAAGACTGATTATTGGTCAAAAACAAAAACAAAAACCAGTTCTTGAACACAGGACAAAGGGAACACTTATTAGCTATACTTTAAAGTCTTCTGGGACAACATACAGCAAAACAAGGGGGCATCTATGAGTGCCTTGGCATGTGGTAGAGAGCTTGGATAACTTTCTCCAAGTTATACTAAGTACTAGTGGTTTATCAAACAGTCCTTTCTCATTAAGTGTCCAAATATGGAATACTCTCTGAGTAAGCTATAGTCTCAAGGTGAAGCCTAAGAATCTAATTCAGGTATTAGCAAGCTTGGTAAAACTTACATTATAACATAAAAGGGCGGGCGGGGGGGAGCAGCTAGGTGGCACAGTGCATAGAGCACCAGCCCTGGATTCGGGAGGCCCTGAGTTCAAATCCGGCCTCAGACACAACACTCACTAGCTGTGTGACCCTAGGCAAGTCACTTAACCCCGTGCCTAAACAAAAAAAACTTAAAAGGATCCAACCAATCATGCCATAAACTGTGGCAGCAAGAAATGGAGTAAAGGAATTTATCACTTTATTAAAATCAGGCCTGTATTTCTCACCCATTTCACAAGAAACCCGTTTTCCACAAAGCCTTCTCTAATCACTATAGTATACTCTGCTCTTTATCTTCTCTGAAATTCCATGACATTTATTAACAGGCAATTTAGTAATTATCCTCTAATTGTTTCATTTGTGTTTTGTTCCCCTAACAAGGTTTCAAGTTCCTTGAGAACCAGGGTTCTATACTATGGTTTTTTTCTTTTTAAACGTTTCATTTAGTAGTTCATCACGGGTCTTCTATGCTGGGTCACAGAGCAGTCAGGATTCAACAAATTGTGGCAAGTGAAAGGCAGAGTGGAACAGCAGCTAGAGTGCTGAACTTGGGAGTCATGAAGACCTGACTACATCTGACACTTAATTGTGTGATCATTGGCAAATTTTTTTAACTTGAGGCCTTTTTTTGGGGGGGGTGAGGCAATTGGGGTTAGATGACTTGCCCCAGAGTCACACAGCTAGAGAGTGTTATGTGTCTGAGGCCAGATTTGAACTCAGGTCCAACTGACTCCAGGGCCGGTGCTCTACCCACTGTGCCACCTAGCTGCCACGAGGCCATTTTTTTCATTTGGAAAATGGGATAGTGATTACCTGAATGGGATAATATAGTAAAGCGCTTAAATAACAGATATTGAGCCTGGTGATATTTGAAAATAGGGAAGAGAATCTATCCTTTCCTAAAGATGCTAAGTACATTGACTGAGTAATTATGTGTGAGTCTTTCTTTTTATTCTTGGCAAACAACCTAAAAACTAAAATCCTTTTTCTCTTTTATATTTTCACCAGTGTATTCATTTAAAAACAGCTTTCTAATTAGTAGTAAAAGCTAGCCCCTCAAAAGAGATGATTAGTAAATTTCTATGCTCAGGGCAAGTCCTCTAAAAAATCTGCTATCATTTTTCCCGTTTTTCATTTCCAAATTTTAACAGACTGAGCCAAATTAAAGTCGTATAATTTTAAATTTAAGCTCTGTTAGTAATTTTTGGAGGAATGGGTCTTTGAAATAGAATTGACTACCATAACTAAAAACAATCTTCCCAAGTCATAAAAATTCTTGTCTTTCAGTGGGTGCTTCCTGGATCAAATTAAAAAATATTTCTCTTTATCTTAAATTCTCCTGAACTCACTTTCCCTGCCAGCTCCCAATTAATTCCTCTGGCCTGGCTTATTTCGCAGGTGTGTTGCCTTCCCAACCCTCCCCCTCCCCCAACCCTTCCCACCTATTAAATACCCTCCCATCCTGCCCCAGTGTATTGAAGAAAATAACCATTATTATCAAAGTAGTTGAACTGTTGTGTAAAGTTATACTTTTGAGAATCTGGACGCTGACCCCACAAATGCCTTCCCCTGAAGATCAAAGCAGGCTAGGAAAAGCATCAAACTAGAGGAAGTAAATACTGTAAGAGGACTGTGCTCAGACATTCTTAAGTCTGTGTCTGGATTATGGATTCTTTATCTCTGACCCCCTAACCTCCAGTTACCACTTAAACCAATAACACAACCAGTTAGTGTAATTCATATAAACCATTTCTTCTCAGCAATCCCCCTCCCAGAAACAGTACTAGGACAAGACGAAGGGCTTTTATAGTCACAACATTCTCTCCCTTATCTTAGTCCAGAAAGAGACTCAAAGAGCAAGGGAAAGTCTTGAAAGAAGCCAAAATGTACAACAAATGTGCTTCTCTCTCAACCCACTTTAAACAGTTCCACCATAACCCAAACCCTCACTGCTAAATCATAGCACTTTCCTCTTTGCCTCCAAAATAGCCAAAAATCACTTTTTACTTAGTTCAAAGAATCTTGAAGAGAAAGAAGGCATAAAAAAAGGAAGTGGATTAATTTTAAGTAAAGCAGCAGCAAATTTTTCTGGGATTGGAGAATGCTAGATAAAGTATGTGCTCCACGAGGGGGAGTTGTAGCTGTGTCCTCTTACTGGAGCCCTAACAACCTCAAGATGGTTACGTCTCTACTGTGAGATAAAATAATTCAATGACCATACTCTGAACTTTAAGGCTAAAAGTGTGCTTAGGAAGGGGGAAATCTCTTTTCAGTTTTCTACCTCCAACCCTGTCTCCTGCCCTCAAGATTCACTATACTAAACAGAAATAGTCACCCAAGAATGACTGGGCTTTATCAGAAAGCCTGGAACCCGTCTTTGAAAAGACTACAACATCTGACTATTTTTCTTAAAAAGGGGACTATCAAAGGAAGTGGGCATGGAGGTCAATGGGTGATTTATCAGAGAACATTTCACACACTTAGCTGTCACTCTGCTCATAAATCTGTACCTCACAAGTGGACCTACTTCACTGGTCTTTCCCCTAGTCCTAGAAGACACCCTGACCTTGTGCCATATGAAAACTCAAGGTTTCTAAATCCTTCTCTAATTCAAAACTGCCATTTCTTCCTGTGTACTACTGATAATACACAGTGCTTCTCCTTAGTTATTAACAAGTGCTCATATCTAAGGCCCTCCAATATATTATTTGCAGAGATTACCAAGAAAGTTGTGTTTTTGCAAGGAATCAGAAGCTGCTGGTAAACCTGTGGATCCTGTGCAAAAACAACAAAGTGGTGCTGTTTAGTCACCAATCTGGATAGATAACTCTGACTCAATGCATACAGGAAACTGTAATTATATAAATATATTTATAAATATTTATACAATTATATACTTATACATAAGCACTTACACAGACTTAGGAAAATGTAAGGACATTCATTTGTAAAGATCCATTAAAGAATAAACACTTTCCCATGATTTCCTATAGAAGACATATATTTCATTCTTTAGTGAGGGTGCCTCACCAATCAATCGTTAGAAATCACACTTCACAATCGTGTACTAACAGAAGATAATCCCCTCCTCCTTTATCCCTTGGGTGCTAAAAGGTAAGATCTCTTAAAATAGACAGGAAGCCTAAAAGTCTCTGAAAATATATCTGAATTTGGGTTACAAGTTAAAGTTTGTCTTTATTTCCAACATTAGAAATTTATTTTTTCTCTAAGGTGCAGAAATGAACCAGCCTAATCAACAGTGACAAAACTGAGTACACACTATATTATGATCTCTATACAGACTTAAAGTTTTAGTTCTATTGGCATCTTCACCCCAGTCCCTACTTTACTTTCCTGCTAACTCAAAATAAGAAAGGGCTAAGTGAATGGTGTTGCATTCATTTAAAATAACTTCTTCTCTGGAGCTAAATATCAAATTCTCACTTTTCATACAATTAAATGAGGCTTTTGGTGGCAGGAAAAAATACAATTGCTGGAGATTACTAAGAGCAGCTTTTCTCACTCCAGTTATTAAATGCTGCTTTATGGACTGAGTTTAAAGTTGTTCTCTTAAGAGATGCTTTTAGTTCTGAAGCCACTGAACATCCTTTGGCTGTAATAGGTGTAGGAAGAACCAAAGCTCAGCTCATTTAGTCACATAACCTCTTAAAGACTATTTTACCCTGGGGTCAAAATGAATTTGGATTATTCCTAACTAAAGAAGCCCACCATTCAGAATTACTTCTTTTCTCTTTTCTCTGAGGCAGCCCTAAAGCACCATAGATAAGACCAACAGCAAGGCCAATTTCTAATTTACAGTTACCATTTTACTGCATGATTGTAAAACTACAACTAAAAAAAAAAAAGAGCAAAGAACAAACAAAAGAAAAAAAGAGCAAAAAACAAAAAAGACTCCTGCCATTCTTAAACCTTTTGTTGGACCCAGAAAATGGAAGAGGCCAGGAAATGTTATGCTGTCCTAAGAATAAACACATTCCTTTTCCCAACACAAGAAGTTTTTGAAATTATGGAAAATCTTAAGATGTTAGCTTGAAAATGGTCATAAAGGATTCAGTAATTTCAATGAATTACTATTCACTCCTAGTATGTTGGTATCAACAGCTTCCATAAAATAATTTCAAATAAAGAGCAATGGACAAAACTGTCTAAGGCAGGAGAGTTGAAAGCCATCCTAATCTATCTCATCCCATATCTGACAATCAACTTCCCAACAGCACATATACCATGGACCTATTCTTCTACAGGAGAGATGAGGGAAAGAGAAAATTAAATTTTTTTTTTGGACAAACTATCAAAAGGAGTGCTTTTCTCCACATAAGTAAAAGCCTGGGCATTTTGTTACATGATACTTCTTACATGGAACTTGAAAAAAAAAATGAAGACACCTTTTCTTTTCTCCCAAGAATAAAGAATAAGATGGTGATGGAAGGTGGTTCTTTTTTTTTTTTTTAATCTGGCCCTTCCTCTGCCACAGGAAACTGAGGTCACATTATTTTTCTTATTTCCAGAGAGTGATGCGCAAGACAGCATCCCTCTTTCCCAAATGGAAAAAGCATTTCCTGCCTCAAGTATTAGGACAGATGGTATACTTAGGTTTTCATTTGGTCACCAGATTAGGGGGGAAAAGGAAGAAAGTGGAGAGAGAAGGAAGGAGGAAGGACAGAGGACAGAGAGAAAGACGCTGTGGAGGAGAGCTCAGACAAAGAAGAGAGTAGGTGGGGGCCATTTGCCCAGTTTGGCTCTGTGGTCCTAGGAGCCAAACTGCACACTCAGGGACACAGTATCCCAAGTAAAAGGATGAGGGGCAGCTGAGAGAGGTCAGGCCACGGTGCTAATTTCTTTCCTGTACAAAGACAGTCTCTTGAGGACAGAGGCCTGCCTCTTGTAATGTAATGTCATAGTCAAGATGAGAAAGCTTCCTTCGAGGGAAGTTGGTGAGAAGTTCAAAACGTTCATTTGGGTATCCTTTTGACTGCACATGCTTCACCAGAGCCTAGACAGAGGGGAGAGAGAAAGAGAGCATAAGCATCAGATGAGAAGGACAGAAACAACATTTAGCATGTAGTGAATCAGAAACAATAATGCCTCATTTTATACAGTACTATTAGGGAATTTCCTTGGTATCTGAAAAGTATTCTAAGTGCCAAAACTTTAAGAAATAATTTAACCCCCTTTGGAACTCAATTTCAAACAGCTCTTCATGAGTCAGTCATCATTATAAGTATTAATTATCATTCTGTATTGTAATCCAAATAATGATTTTACTGAGGTATGTAAGGGTACTTGCCTCTAAAGTAAATAACCCCATTCTGCTATGCTTTAAATTGGTGCATATTTTAAAAATATTTTTTGTTTCCCTCTCCTCTGCCTATAATTTCCTGCTGCTGTCAGTATGCCCCTTTCTAATAGTCCCTCCCCCTTCAAAAAACACTGCTTCTAATTATGTATTAGCTACTTAGCCCTATTATTATTCTCTAGGGCAGATACACCAAGTGTGTTAAAGTTACACTGAGGTACCTTAAGAGATGAGAGTCAATGCAAATTCATTTCTGACAGGAACTTCCTAGGATTTATACTTATATCTGAAGGTGAAAAAAATCAGTCAGATGACCTCTTGACCAATCTACATATCAGATTACAATAAACTATGATTACCTTAGATAAACTAGATAAAAATATTCTTTGGATAATTACCACCTCACTTCCATCTGCCTCAGCTGTTCCTCTATTAACCATAGCTATAGCCTAAGAGAAGAGCTGACCTTTAACAAAAAGCTAAATCTTGAGACTAACAACCATGTTCTTTTCTAACAAACAATGGTATCTTGAGATTGTTTTAAAAGGCATACTGGAAAGCTAAGACAATAAAAGCATACCAAATTAAGATTCTAGGAGGTAATGAAGCGTAATAGAAAACAATGGACAAGTCCAAAGACGCATGTTATGGGGATGGATTTATCATGTACTAGCTGATCTTGGCTGGGTCACCAGCCACCTCTTTGAGTTTCAATGGAAATAAGAGGATATTACTTACCCTGCCTATCTCACAGGGTTGTTGTGAAGGCTGAATGAGAATGTATCTGAAAACCATCAAGTTATAGTAACATAAGGTATCATATAGAATCTGGGATTAATAGCTGATGCTAAGGAGTCCAGTGAGCTCCCCGAACAGATTCCCAATTTTATTGTGAAGAAAAGCTGTTTCATTTTTCAAAGACTTGGGATAACATGGGGGAAGGCTGGGGTTAGGGATACAAAGACAAAAACAGTCCTGGCCCTAGTCTCCCTTATTGAAGACAGTAAATTTAAGACTTCTATTCAGTTTTCCCTCCTTTCCACCACTTTAAGGGCTACTGTGATGGTGAAATAGTAAAGTAACACATTTCAAAAAGTAGGAACAAGTGGTGATTTTAATATTGAAGACTGTGGGGTAAAACTTTGGATGAACTATTTCAAAACCCACACTAAAGCACAATGAGGAAACCAAAGGGAAGATTATAAGATTTTAAACTATTAGCTCTTCTTCAGTAGTAATTAATAATAGTTTATGTTTATGTAATACTTTATAAAGTGCTTTTACATACATTCTCTCATTTGATCCCCACAACCACCTTTTGAGGTAGGTTCTGCTAATATTATCTGCATTTTCAGAGGTTAAGTCTCTTACTCAATATCACCAGAAATTCTTGTGCCACTCTAGGGGTTTGACCCTTCCCCTGATGTCACTGCCACTTGTGTCATCCTTTTCTGGGTCTATTGTCACTGAACCACTTTCTTCTGTGGCTGTCTTTGTGCTAAACACTTTAAGTCCCTGCTCTAACTCTAAGACAAACTGTCTGGGCCTCATCGTTAGCCGACAAATCTCAATGACAAAAGCCCAAAGCCTTCCTTCTGAATAGGAAAACTCTCTGGGCCAACTCCAGTTCTGCACCTGACAGTATTACCTACTAAGATGGGTCACAGGAAGGGTGCCTGCTGAGATGCCTGGAGCCTCCACCACTGTAATACAGCTACACTATTCCAACAGCCCTGAGGTCCTGATGCCCTAGTTTCTACTGTAGGCCTCAGGAGTTGCCTTGTCTTTAAGAGCTACCAAAATAAAACCGGAGGGCTCTTAAAGAAACAATACAATCCACCAAAGGTCCTGAAATGGGGATGGGTAGGGCTATATCTGCACCCAACAAAATTTGAGTTTCAATGTGTGAAATTTCATTAAGGAAACTGAACAGAACCATCTATTCTCCTTTGGTTTTCCTACATATCAGAGTTGGGGCAAGGTGCTAAGTTCTAAAAGGCTTCTCAGGATTTTGGCAATAGTGACAATAAAGAGGGGGGGAGCCAGCAGAAGGGCCATGGCAATGTTATAATCTAAGAATGGAAGAGAATAACACCAGCGGCAGACACCATAAAATAACCCAAAGTGTAAAATAAAAGTCACTGGAAAAGCAACCTTTGACAAATCAGGATATTACGGCCCTAAAATTAATGTCTTCAGTCTTATTCATGGAACTAAAACCTATATAATTTCCACTACCTTTTGTAAAATATATTTTAGGAAATATATAAATCTTTAAAATTACTTGCTAATAAAAAGTCTCCATTTGAGAAGAACCACTTTGATGAGTTAAAAGCAACTAAGTTTCCATGTTCCTTAAACTCATCATTGTGATTAAGTAATTTTGGTGAAAACCATACTTCAATTTTAAATTTTGTATCTAAAATCTTTTCTGAGGTTTTGATAAGATTTGATAAGAGGTCACTTAGTTATGTGCTGAAAAAAGAAAGTGAACAGAAAGAACGGCCTTCTCTAAGTAATTTTATTTTTTTGGGGGGGGGCCGAGGCAGTGGGGTTAAGTGACTTGCCCAGGGTCACACATCTAGTGAGCGTTATGTGTCTGAGGTCACATTTGAACTCAGGTCCTCCTGACTTCAAGGTCGGTGCTCTATCCACTGCGCCACCTAGCTGCCCCTCTAAGTAATTTTAGATTAGAGCTCAAAATACTCAAGGAAGAAAATAACCTTGGCTCCTCTCTGACGGAAAGAAAACCTAGATCTGTTTGTAAAACTAGCCTGCTTTCCTCCCATACGAGATTAAATGAGTGACTTAGGGTTCACCTTTATAAAATCTAATGTTAACAAGGCCTTCTTTGCCTTGGCTCCTTTATAGATCCGAAAATGGCACACTTCAGACAATTTGCCATAGTCATTTAGCAAATCAAGGGGAATGCCACTGTTGCGATTTTTCACTTCTGCTTTCAGTCCATAGGCAAGATAGCCTCAAGTGCCTAGAACAGTACTATGAAAATATACCATTTATTGTTGCTTCTGATTGTTTCAGAGGAGCATCAAAGAACTGTTCTAATTAGATAACTTCTCTGCCCCATGTAAAATGTTCTAGTTAATTCTACTTACTAGAAGTTTAGCTTGTTCTGGAAGTGTGATCTGTTCCCTCTTTCCATCTGGATACCTCAACATCAGCTGTGCTTTTGGTCCTAAATAAATAAAAGATATGACAATACAGAGGGAATATAGTAAGATATGAAGACAAATGGTTTAGCATAATGTTCTTATTTTAAGAAACTAAAATTAACTCACCATTCATTTCCAGCCCTTCTGAAAGCCCATCTGACTTCTCAGGTAACACCTCCAATATTTCAGAATCCATGCCTGACAGTACTTGGTGGTTTGTTGCAGTTCCAGGCTCAGTCCTAGCTGAGGGCTCAGTCTGAGGCCTCCGGCTCTCCTCTTTCCTATGCAATAAGTCTTTGTGGGGAGATTTCCTAGATTTGGCAGTATTCTCTACCTCCTCTTCCTCATCAGAACCACAAACTGATATGAATTCCTCACTTCCAGAAAAAAGTTCAGATTCAGACTCTTCATCTGAGCGGCTGTCCTGTTTTGCCTGTGTAGAATCAAAATGTGTCTCTTGCAAGGAGGCTCTGATAGCAGCTTCTAGCTGGCTGTCTTCACTTGCATCTATAAGGCTCTCCTGTCAGGTGCAGATATGAGACATAAGTGAGGGGGAAAACACAATTAACAAACCCTAAAACAGTCAATCAAATTAAAAAGAACATGAAAAATGCAGCAGCCAAGATGTTAAGAATAATATCTTACTCTAAAGCAAGAGGACAACAACTTTTGCCTACCTCCTTGGAATGAACTCCAACCAAAGGAACATTTTCATTTCCCCTCCTGGCTCCCTCACCACCTCACCCCATTACCAGTGGGAAGACCGTTGCAGGGTAAATGTTATAGATTTTGGCAGATGAGGAACATTTAGTTACTGCCTCAACTGTTGATATTAGCAAGTCATTCTGTGAATTGTTTTTTACAAATTAGTTAAAAAGTTTAATATTCTAAAACAAGACAACTAAATCCTCTACTTAAATGCCAAATTGAATTCCTCAAGCACAATTAAACTGACTTCTAGAATTGTTATAACTCTGTCCTATAATTTCTTGTAGCTATTGATTAGTCAAGGTAGGAATGATAATTTCCTACTATTTTGTAACTTCCTCCATGATTTCAACTACAAGCCTAAAAATACTACTTTTTCGGTTAATTATCCAGCAAAACTTTTGACAATTTGGTATGTTAAGGGGATCAGGAGAGTCAACTAGTCCAAAAACTTGGACAAACAGGAGTCACTTTATATTACCTCAGATTGGATTTCTAATTTTTCCTCTAAAGCCGTGTAATTGAAAGGGATATGATTTATACATTCCTCACTACTGTTCACTTTAATTCCCACCCCCACCCTTTTGATTTTTTAAGAAGCTGTTTGGGTTTTGAAGAGAATAACAAACTTCTAACAAATCTAGTCCCAATAAATATTTATATTTGGATCATCAGAAATGTAGGCTACTAAAGTTTTGATAGTGCTGATGACAAAGTTTTTGCTATATGTATGAGTAAAATTTTGCTCAAAAAGAAAAGAATAGAAAAGAAAACAAACCACAAAACAGAATGTAGGAAAAACTGAGGCTAGTCATCTCACAGTGACTGGTACCAGCTGGGATCTTTTCCTAAGACTTGACAATGTTTCTTGCTGACAAGGTGAGAAATTTTTTTAGAGGATGAAATCACTAACAAAGCATTGGTTTAATAGACCAAAATCATCTATGGTAGTGCTTACATATAATTAATACGATACAATATTATGTAAGATGTTAAGTTTGTGCTTAGAGTTCCCTGAACCCTTATACTTACAGAGCGGCCACATTTTTTGGGGGGATTGCTGGACAGTCCATCCAACTGACCATGCTCACCCAGGAATCCTGTCACTTGATCCAAGAAAGAGGTCACATCTAGCTGGTGCCACTCCACTAGCTTCTGACCTGAAGAAGAAAAACTAAGATATGAAACAGCATTTATGTTCAATACCTTTCCATGTGAACAATCTTACATTAGGCCTTTGCAGAATATAAATTGATGCTGAAGAAAAATTTCTTTATCTTAATATAGTACCATAAAGTATTACAAAAGTAAGAGGCATTAATTACTATTACAACTACTAGATCATACAGGCCTCAGCAGAGAGATGCAGACATTGCATCAATAAAAATCCAGGTATCATGGCCTTTGGATAAGAACAAAAGATACAGCATCAGGTACCAATTGGTATATTAACTGATTGACCGCCAGTACCACGCCAGATTCATTTACCTGCTACCATTTAGTCATCTGGAGCTGGAGACAAAAGACATCACCCTTCCTCCATTCATCTTTAGCCAGGAAAGTGGTCCCCAGTGAGTCACACTGACTGAGCTGAGGAGGTGTTTATTCATTAATAGGACAAAGACCTACTTGGTTCAAAAATGACTCTTTTCCTTGGAAAAGGAGGAACTGACCTCCACTGACCTTCAGATAGGGCAGAGCTGTGAATGCAGAAAATAAGACATTTGCTTCTAATCTTCATGGGGAGGAACTGAAGAGCAAAGGAGTATGTCTGGAGGTCCATATTACCTGCCTAGGGTTTCAAGACACAGGTCTTTTGCTCCCTTTTCTGGATCTTTTGTTCTTACTGCTCTTGCATTCTAGCAGGCCAAGTGAGCCAAGCTATTTTTCCCTGTGTCTTCTCTTTTTTGTCTTCTGGAGGATGGAACAAGTGTTTCGGAGTCTCAATTCTCTGAGGGTTGTAGCAGAGAGAAGGCTGCTCTTCTAGTGGGCATATCAAGAAGCAGGGATTTTTCTCTCTCGGTTGAAGTTGAAAAGTCTGTGTGGCCTCATGTCAAGGGAGGCTCAATGGGGTCCAGGAAAGGTACTCATTGCCATCTTCCTTTCAAAAGGAATTATGCATTATGTATACGTAATGTTTTTAGAATTATTGTTAAGGATTTTATCTTCACATGAGCCATTTTTAAAAGATTTGACAATATATACTGAATTAGGCATTTCACACCTGATAGTCATACAAGTGTGGTAGTCTGTGTTAAATACCTTTCTTGAGCAAAACTGTATTTATTCAGGCTAGGTAATCTAGCTACTGTCAGCAAAGACCCCAGGTGAAAAAGGACATGCTCTTCACAGATTTGGGATACTAATGCAGCAATAATAGTTTCTGACACAAGAATGCAGATGGTCAGGTAACTAGTTCAGAAGATGGAGCAGTACCATTAACATAAGATAATATGTCACACATAGAGGACCTATGCAAATGTTTCTAGTAATAAACTTGTAGGTTCATTCTTGGACTACTGCAACTAATAAAACTTGTAAGCAAAACATGCAATATGGCTTCTAACCCCACTATATTCAAACTGCTCTCTCAAAGGCCACTGTTTACCCCTCTATGGCTAAATCTGAAAGGCTTTTATCAGACCTCAACATCCTTTATCTTTCTGCCACATCTGATTTACTCCCCTATCAGCACATTCTCCTCATTTTCTCTTCTCCAGCTTTTATGACACTGCTCTTTCTTGGCTCTTCTATCTTGTTTCGTCTCTTGACACCCAAGTATGATCTCTGTCCTAGTCTTTCTTTATGCATACTGTCCCCCTGGTTCCATGGACTCACATGATACCACTATTTGGAACCTTCCCAAACCTATAAGTAAGGTACTAATACCTCTCCTAAACTCCAGTCTTATCTGTCAAGCTGTCCAGAAGGACCCTCTACTTGGATGTTCTACCAGGACCAGCCTAAGTATGTCTAACACTGAAATGATCATCTTCCTTTTAATATTTCCATTTCTGCTAAGGATACCTTTCTTTACCTTCATCCTCAGTCACTCAGACTCAAAACCTTGGCAGTCATCTCTGATCCCTTCTCTTTTCTCCTCCCCCAACATCATCCAATCAAATGTCAACTCCTATCTCTCCACATCTCTTGCATCTCTCCCCCTTTCCCCACTTATATAACCATTACTTCACTACAATTTAAGTCCTTATCACTTTCTGTCTGGACTATCACAAGCTTCTTGATGCCTTTAAGAATCCTTCCCAAACTTTCAGCCACCTAACAAGTTAGTATTCTCTCCATTCTTAGAAATGTCTAAAACTTTCTAGCACTTTCTCTGGAGTTCTCTTTTGTACCATGACTACTTGTTTTACATTATGCTTGAATACAAGGCATATCCCTTTCCCAGTCTCCAGCCCACCCCCAACACACTCTGTAGAATATAAGCCATTTAAGGACAAGAACTATGTCCATTTTAATCTTGATTTCTGAGTATACCTAGCACAGTATCTTGCATGTAATAAATGTAATTACACACAAGGCGTGCAATAATGCTTTTTGACCTGAAAGACTTGATAAATTTATGCTTATCTTACCTGTCCTTGGGTCCAAGATGGAGACGTAGGGAAAATCCCCTAATTTGTAAAATTGTATGTATCTCTGTCCTTCCTCACTGTCATGATATACCTGTCAAACCATAAGATATGAAATAGCTAACTAATCTCAAAGACATTACCAACTGCTACTTTGACATACAATGAAAATCAGCAATTCTCAAAAAGAAAGGAAAATAGGGATAAGGTTTTAGAATTGAAAAATTCAAAAGATACTCACAACTAAACTGGGCAGACTGGGGGAGGATGCTTATAAGCAGTACTAAGGCCTTTAAATTAACCTTTAGACTAAGGTTACAGAACTGTTATACAATTTATTTAAAATCAATTAAGGAATTATAAAGCTGGAAAGGACCTTGCTTTAAAGCAGTGGCATCCAACTCCGATTCCTCCAGTCCACATACTGATATATAAAACCATAAATTAACATTGTTGCTATTTTGTGATCCCTTTTTGGGGTTTTGGCAGAGATAACTAGAATGTTTGGCATTTCCTTCTCCCGCTCATTTTACAGATGAGGAAATTGAGGTAAAAAAGGTTGAGTGACTTGCCTTGGGTCACAGAGCTGAGGGTGGATTTGAACTCGGGTTTTCCTGACTCAAGGCCCAATACTCTTATCTACTGGCACCAACCTAGCTGTGCCATTAACATTATCGATGTCATATTTTCATATTTGTTTTGTTAAACATTTTTGAATTATATTTTATCCTGGTTCTGGCTGCCCTTAGGAGTAGGGCCCTTGAGTAGGTCTTGAGTTAGACCCCTCTAATCCTGTATTTTACATATGAGAACTATGAGGATCAGAGAGGTTAAGTGATGTGTAGAGGCTACAAAGATACTAAGACGGATGGGACTAGAATTACAGGTCTCCTGATTCTTAGTGTTCTTTTTGCCAAGAGAGTAAGGTAATTTTGGTGAATGACTGAGTATACCTGGTTTCTCTCTTCCCCTGCCCCACTCATAGTCTTTATTCAGCTATCATGGTATTTCAGCCATGGTAGCAGGGTTGGTTTTAATTTATAAAATTAAACGGTTGATTCACAATCAATTTCTGCCACTTCTGTTCCCCTGTAACTCAAGAAAGGAGCTTTCCTAACTCTTCCTGAGCCTCATTCCCACCTGCCAGAAAATGAAGTGTTCCCGGATAATGTTCTTCACAGCTTCATTGCTCCAGACATCCCGGTTGAGGCACTGGCAAGCAAAGTCCTGCACATTCTGGATGTTGATCATGAGCCACTTGTTCTGCATCTGACCACACTCTTTGGCCTGTGGAGGAGAGAGTTCCACACTGTGGATTAGAAATGGAATGCAAACAATGTCCGTAATGGCAGCAGCAGGATATTTTGGCACTCAGGGCTTGCTGAGTACCTCCCAGTGTTCCCAATCAGAATGGCATCTAATGAGATTTTTTCAAGAACCACATTCAGGTGAAGGAGAATTTAAGGAATCTATTTTTAATAATCTGAGTATAACTTATGCATGACTATAAAACTATGAAATTTGTTCCTGCACAGTGTAATGTGTAAATGTCCCAGTAATGAAGTTTTTTTCTCTTATTTACCCATTTATTATGAGCACCAATCTCAGAGCAAGGACAGATTTAGTGAAGGCAAAGAGAGGTAAGGAAAAGGTTCTTAGAAATCTTGGTCGAGGGCACCAATGGCACTTAAGTAAAAGGAGAACACTGAACACACTTCTCTCCAAACCATCTGCTGGCAAATGAGGGGAAAAAAAGGTCAGGATGGCGAAGGGCCTCCAAATCATGAATGGATCATAAGATAGCAGCATATGGGACCAGGTGAAGGAACTAGGGATGTTTAGCCAGGAAATGAGAAGACATGAGGGAGAAATAATAGCTGGGTTCAAGTATTTGATATTTAAAACTATTCTGAAAAGAGACTAAGGCTTGATTCATGGACAAATCTAAAAAACCAGAGCTATTTAAAAGTGGAATGAGATACTTGAGGTACTAAAAGGTTCTCTCCTCACAAGAGGTCTTCAAGTAAAGACTGGGTTGACCATCCACTGTTCAGATATGGTGCAGAGGGAATTATTACTTAGGTCAAGATTTGACTCAGTTTCCTTCCAATTCTGAGATTGCTTTTTTCCACTGGAGAAGAAAGGTGAAGCTATTAGAGAAAATGAGCTTTGGGAACTACCTATCTATGGGTACTACTATCTATCTACTATCTACAGCTTGCATCCATTATTACCCTATCTCCCAATGAGAATGAAGTTTTTCACATAAATGTTGGCCTTCAAAAGAATTTGGGTATATCATCTAATAATAATGATCACTGACAACACTAGCTTCCAAAAATGTAAATAAAATAATGTGTACTCCAAAAAATGCAGCATTGCCCAATTCAGCAGATAAAAGCATTAAGAAAAAATACTCAAAATTTTCTTCACTGTTCTTCTGGGTCATTTTGTTAAAACTTAGAATCTAAAAACTTACAGTTTCAAAGCTGCCTTTATGCATTAGATCAATAGGTGGTCGGAAGAGATCTGCAAGGGTAGTGAGCTTCTTATCTATTGCTCCTCCATTTCTCAACTCTTGTTCCTGCCGAACTGAAGAGACACAGAAATCAAACTTACTGAAATAGGAAATAGTATTTTTTAGTGTTTCCAATTACATTTTTTAGACAAAAGCTGATGTACTAATTAAGATGATCACATATGATGCAACACATTTTCAAAATGAGATAGATAGGTAACAAACTGCCCTCAATGAAACGGGGAGATTAAAAAACAAAGAAACTACTGTCCTATAACTGAGTGAAGAAATGAAACTAGATGTTGGCCTAAATGTACTGTCAATACAAAACATTATCTTTAACTAAAAAACCAGCTTTAAAATTGTAGGGAAAAGAAATCGACCACATACAACATACCATTCCTTCCAACCCTCTGCCCCCTTTTCCATTGCTATTTAGTCATTTCCTAAAGAGATGCTGGCTCCCAAATCTTCTGAAGTCCCAAGCTGGTAGCAGGTGTATGGCTGATGTCACTGTCATCCCTGACTGTACTTCAAATTTGGGGACTCTAGCAGTAGAAGGTGTGAGATAAAGAGTCCCTGTTGCTATTGACTCCTAGAAGAATATAAGATCCTCCAGTTACTCTGAATGAGTAACTAGCAGGACAGAGCATGGTCAAAGGGTTCCAAATGAATTCTCCAACCATAGTTATTCTTACTCTGAGGTCCCTCAGTTTGTCATTGGTAGAAAAAGAGCAAGAAAAGGAAAATCATATCTCTTGAAACAAAAGCCACTCTCTAGCTGAAAGGAGCCAAGGGAACTAAGCAGCCTACTGACAAGACTGACACTACTAGAACAGAAGTGTTTTAATATCATGATGAACTACAATCAACTCTTTATTTTTCAGGTCCTAAACATCTCATCTATTGATTAGACCTTGTACATCTCTCCTCCTCCCTGTCTCTCTCAGTGTTATTAGGCCTTTGTAGCCTAATGACTTAAAAATTTAAGCATTTGATCTCTTAATGATGATTAAAAAAAATTATTTAACAGGTCTGACCACATACCAGCCCACTTTCAGATAGAACAAAATCATTAAACAATTCTATCGTCTTGAATATTTAAAAGGATATAATTTTTTTTTCCATTTTAAGGAAAAATAAAACACAATACAAAAAAAAATATGAAAACTTTCCTATAGATTTAATAGGGAAAAGACTGAGCTCCTGTCCTGACATAAAGCAATTTGCAAATCATGGATACTCTTGAGTATTTACTGGTAAGCCCACTAAGAAAATCTGAGGCTACAACTCTCTGGGAAAAACTCCCTGTTTATTTAGTGCAAGGATTCTTAATTGTTCTTTGTGTCACAGACCTTTTGGCAGTCTGGTGAAGCCTAGGGACCCCTCCTAAGAATAATGATTTTAAATGCATAAAATACACAGGATTTACAAAGGAAACTAACTATATTGAAATAAAGATGTAATTTTCCCCATTCAAATTCAGATACCCACTCCAAAAACCTATTATCTATGAACCCCAAGCTAAAAATCCCTTGTTTTTATTAAACGGTAACGAACCTTTAATTAAAGAACTATTTTATAAAGCTTCCATAATTAACAATAATGATAATTTACATTTATATGGCACTTGCAAATCCACAAAATTTTTAATATATATTGTGTATCTCATTTGAACCTTAAAACTTTGAGGTAGGAAGTATAGCTATTGTTATTCCAATTTTACAGCTAGGGAAACTGAGGCACAAAGCTTAAGTTCATGGGGAACTAGTATCTAAAAACCCAGGTCTACCTGACTTGGAATCTTGTACTCTATCCACCATACTGCTTAGGCTATCTAGGGAGCAATGATTGCTAATGAACAGGACAAAGGTAAGAAAAAAATGTTCCACAGATACCCACTCGTTTCAGTCTGAAAATCTCGAAAACCATCAAATATTGAACGAGCAGGCCGCCGTCTTTTAGGAGCTACAGGAAAAAAGAAGTAAATACTTAGCCTCTGAATTTTTCATGAAATTCAATCCTAAAATTGTTTGATCTATAATTTTCTCATATCAATACACTCAACTATGACATGTTTGATAAATTACATCAACAAAAAGATCTATGCTAGTTTTGAGTCACAATCACAGAATTTCAGTGTTGAAAAGGGACCTCAGAAATCATCCTAGTCCAACTCATACCTAAAAAGGAATCTCACATACAACATACCTGACAAAAAAAGATCAGAATAGGACAAATACTGGCAGAAATTAGGCTTAGAAAAACATCTTACATCATATTCCACCATAAATTCAAAACAGATACCTGACCATCAATCCAATGAAATTACTATAGAAGCAAATCACATAACTTCACAGATATGGATAGCAGATGGATTCTTACCAAACAAAAGATAGAGGCAATTACAAAAGATAAAATGATCACTTTGACTATATGAAATTGATACTTCTGCACAAACCAAATTAATATATCTAGAATAACAAGCGGTCAACTGGGGAAAAAAATCTTTTCCCCCTGTTTAATAGCATTTTATTTTTTCCAATTACATTCAAAGTTAGTTTTTTCTTTTTTTAAACTTAATAGATGTTTATTGAATTGAATTGTTGAATCCATAAATTTATTAAGCATTCTGTGTATGGTTCTACCCAAGTCATTATTAAAAATGTTAAAAAGAAAAGGACCAAGGACAGATCTCTGCAACACTACTACAGAATTCCCTCCAGGGTGACATGGATTCATTAATCAACATTCTTTGCTTCCAATTGGTCAACCAGTTCCAAAACCACCTAAGTATATATCTGTCCACCTTATTCACAGTGATATTGGAGAGACTTTATTAAATGCATTCCTAAAGTGCAGGTATACTGTGTCCATCACATTCCCTTAATATAATAGTCAAGTAATCCTGTCAAAAAAGTAAAGTAGGTTACAAAGTTAGTTTTCAACATTCACTCGTACAAGATTTTTAGTTCCAAATTTTTTTCTCCCTTTCTCCCCTCCCCTCTCTCCAAAATAGCATGCAGTCTGATAGAGGCTATACATGTACAATCATATTAAATATATTTCCACATTAGTTATGCTGTGAAAGAAGAATCAGAACAAAAGGGAAAAAACAAAAAAAAGAGAGAGAAAAACAGTATGCTTCGATCTATATTCAGACTCCACAGTGGTTTCTCTGGACGTGGACTCCATCATGAGTCCCTTGGAATTATCTTAGATCAGAGACTCCCAAACTTATTTGGCTACCGTCCCTTTTGCAAAAATAAAATAAATTACTAAGCACTTCCCTGGGGTTAGGTTAGATTAACCCTTATTTTTATTCAACACCTCCCAATTGCATCCAAGGCTACTACAGCCCCACCACCTCCCCATTATCCCAGCACCCCCAAGAGGGCAGTATCACCTATTTTGTGACCTATGTTTAGATCACTGCACTGCTGAGAAGAGCTAAGTCATTCATAGTTGATCATCACACAATGTTCCTATTACTGTATACAATGTCCACCTGGTTTTGTTCATTTCACTTTGCATCAGTTTGTGTAAGACTTTCCAGATTTTTCTGAAGTCTGCTTGCTCATCATTTCTAACAGCATAACAGTATTCTATTACATTCATATACTACAACTTGTTCAGCCACTCCCCAACTGATGGACAGATCTTTAACTTCCAATTCTTTAGCACCACAGAAAGAGCTGCTATAAATATTATTGTACATGTGGGTTCTTTTCCCATATTTATGATCTCTTTGGAATACAGACCTAGTAATGGTATTGCTGGATCAAAGAGTATGCAGAAATCAAAACAACTCTGAGGTACCACATCACACCTATCAGAATGG